GCGCGCGCACGCGCAAGCACCGTGGCGGCGCTTTGCGCGGCGCCCCGAGTAGCAGCTGGCAGGGCCATCTGGGATCGCGGACGGGGCTTGCACGTGAGCCGGGCGTGGTGGGAGGCTTGTGCCGAAGCCGCAAGCTCACGGGCGCGCCGCGGGCCGCGCTCCTCTGGCCCCGAGCCGCCGGCGCCGCCGCCGTCGTAGTCAGTGGTGGTTGTCGGTGGTGGCGGTGGTGGTGGTGGCGGTTGGAAATATTTAAGTGGCGTCGCAGAGGAATGAGGTTGTGGCGGCGGCAGCGGGAGAGAAGGGAGGTTTGGTGGGGGGGGCGCGGAAGGAGTTAGTGGTGCGTGCAAGCGGGTGGGTGGGAGGAGGGAGTGGAGGGAGGGAGGGATAGACGGTCCGTTGAATGGTCAAAAGCAGAGGGGTGCTGGTGGTGGTGGTTGTGGTGTGGAGTTGACCCTGGAGCGGTTAGCGCGCCGCGTTACCAACCCGGCGACCCGAGTTCGATTCCCGCTCACGGCCAATCCCAGTGACGATTATCTGAACTGGTCCTGGGCCTGGTGCGGTGTGCAAACATCGTCACTCGGGAGACAAAGACGGATGGACGTGGTGCTGGCCACCCACCCCCTCGTGTGCCGGCCTTCATAGGTGCTGCTCGCAAACAGCACTTACCCCAACAGTCTGTTCAGGCTATACGGGTGATCTTTGTCATTGGCGTGAGGTTGGCCCTGGCGATTGGGGTAACATCAGCGTCGACGTGGCACTCTGTTGCCCCCCCCTCCCCGTCCTTCGGAAACGTGCCCGGGCGCACGTGGGTTGCGGGCTGCTGGGCAGCAACTGCACCTCGCCCCGTGCGCTTGAATTGCCGGGGAGGACGTCTAACTCCCCTCTCGCCCCTCCACCCACCCCCCTGGGGAGGGGGAGGGGGCGGCGGCGGGGATGAGGGGGGGGGGGTGCTGACGGTGTTGCCACAGGAGTCGGTTCACAAACAGCGAAGTCTCGGAGGAGCGACCACTCTGACCTGGGCCATCTGTGTTAATTACAATGAGCTCTGTAGGTGACTCGAGCGGGATATCGCCCCCAACGGCAAGCAGCGACCACGTGTGAGCAATCTGCCCCCTCCTTACACCCCCCCTCGCCCCCCCGCCCCCCGGGCGAATACAATTCCTCTAGCAGCAGCTGATAATCAAATTTCAGTTTTTAAAACATGTTTAAATACGATTCAGTGTGTTGATTTGGGGCGATCTTCTGCCTCTATCGATGCAGAGCAACACAGACAAAATGTCCTCCTTTTCATTCGTGTGGCCAAGCCACGGACAACCGCATCAAGAGGTGGCTGAGGTTGCGTCGCTGTCGACGGGCGCGATGTCCTTTCAATTGTTCGTTCCGAATGTTTTACACAACGCGCGGGCGCCGTGGGGTTGCAGTCGTTGTCGTCAAATGGTTGTTCTAAACTCGCGAACATTTCCGAAATTGATTGCTTCGTTTTACATGGATGTGTTTTCATTCACGGACGGGGTCTCTCTGTCATGAACAACAAAAAAACGCAATTCGAAGTGCTTTGGGTTTTCTTTTCTCTCCCTCTCCTTGTGGAATATAACGAGACGAATGTTGGAGTGCGCTATCCCTGGAGCACAAAGGGGAGATTGACTGTTGCCCATTCACAGAGGGGAGGGGCGCGAGAACGAGACGACTCGCCTTCGGAACAGATTTGTGGTTAAAGGCAGTTAAGTGTTATTATTCTATCTCTTTCCTTCACACGTCACAGTCGTACGATCTTGATGGAAACATATCCGATTCAGGGGAATATCTGTCTATGAACATCACCCTGCCTTCCGTGAGTGCAGCTTGTGTGCACATTATAAGATCCCCCGTATCGCCTTAACCGACCGTGCTAATCGCGCCTCCGATTAGCACGGTTAGCTGCGTACGGTGCGAAAGAAGGTCAACATACGTACGTACATAAAGTTGTGTTAGCTCAGCACTTATGAAGGTCGGCACGGCCCACGAAAGGGGTGGGTGGCAAGCACCACGCAAGGCCGCCTTTGTCTCCCCACATCGCACCAGGTAGTAATTTGAGGCTGAGTCGACCTAGTGGAGGCCCATAACCGATTCAGATAATCGCCACTGGTGTTGGCCGTGAGCGTGAATCGAACTCGGCTTTTCGGGTTCGTAGCGGAGCGCGCTAACCGTTGAACCACCGCTCCCCGTATACAAATACACATTGGGGGGTGCCACTCACTGTGCACGTGGGAGAGTGAAGTAACAGTATCCTGGGATCAGTTTATTCCTTGAGGTGTAATAGTCGACAGGCGAGAATCTCGTTTCACTTACAGGCTGCTCATGATCCCATCCTCCTCCTCCTCCTCGCCTCTCGACTAAACCTCTGTTGTGTTATCGACTTTGATCCACGTCTCAACTCCGTGGAGCAATCAGTGAACGTCGAGAGAGAGAGAGCGGCTTCAAGCTCGCAGTGGCTTCAGCTTGAAAAGGCAATTGAAGACAATCCAGGGGACGCGACCTTGCAAATAACAAACTTGAATGTCGAGTGGCAGCCCTAACGTACAGGACTTATTCCATACTCCACCGGAGGCAAATGACTTGCCCCACTGCTGACAGCGATCGCGCATACGTGAAGTCTTTGTCACGAGTCTCGAGGCAATTAGTCCGTGGGCCAGAGCAGGAATTTAGTACCACTGACGGTAGCAAGCATAGCACTTAGTGGTGACTAATAACAGTGAATCACGTGATGATTAACCCCACTCGTTTTAAGCGGCAATCGCATAATTCACTGCTCTTGGTCACAAAGAGAAATCGGAACCACTTGAGGTTTGCCACCTTTGGTGGTACCGACAACTGCGAAAATAGAGCTTCATAGCTCATCGGATTCCTCCAGTCTACATTAAGATTCTAATCCGGAATATTTGGTCTGGGCTCATGGACTAAATGCAGACATTCAGGGTGAAACCGCCTAACTAAAGAAATTACTAATGCTCCACGTAGCATTTGTTTAAGGCCCATATTGTAAAGTGTAGTTTTTGTTGTTATATTCTTCCAGTTATTACCCTAGACATGAATCTATTTGGGCAAAATGTGAATGTCTCACCCTTGTAGAACATAGAAGTTACACCAGTCACGCGGTTATGATGACCCATCGCAGCTCGCCTGGGCGAGGGGGGGGGGGTTGACTTAGCCCATCATCCTTCGGGACTGATAAAATAGATACCGCTGTGTGGGGGAAGACAGCGGCGGTTGTCCTATGGAGGGATTCTCCCACCTCCATCGAGACTGTGGAGTTGCCACCACTGTCTCAGTGGGAGGCTGTACACAGGGGACGAGCACACCATCTCAATGGCCATTCGAGTGAGGAATTGAACCCCTGAGTGGGACTTCACTTTCTGAAAAAGCCCCAACTGGACGTCTGTGATTGAAAAATAAAAGCTTCAAAGCTCATCGGATTTCTCCGGAATAAAAAAATTAAGATTCTGGTTCGACTTTTATAGATAACCACATTCTAGATTTGAAGCTTTCGTGACTGCAATGATTTATACTCTTAGTTCTTTCGGTAAAGTCACGTAGGTAAAACATGAAATTAAAATTTATAAAAATAAAATAAAAATTACGACGTTTCGGAGACTTGTGTTGCCTCCGAAACGTCGTAATTTTTATTTTAATTTTTATTAATTTTTAATTAAATGTTTTACCTACGTGACTTTACCGAAAGAACTAAGAGTATATAACCACATTTGTGTTAAGGACCTAAACTAAGTCTGAGCACCGTAACTTTTACTTCCGACGCGCTGGCCTGGGTTTGCAACTTTCCCTGCTGCTGCTGCTGGTGCTGCTGCTGATGATGATGATTACGAACAGCGGTGAGACAATCGTGAGTGCAACGGAGGGATTTGGTGGCCCGCCAGACTTCCGGTGGGCCGACCTGAAAGTAGATCTTGTCAGTCACTCTTCTCGCTTCTATCGCCGGAGCCACCCTTGCTCGAGGCGGTACCGGAAACGCAAGAGCGAGGGAATTGTTGACTTCTTCGTGGGTAAATATTTAATGCTCACCCCCGTCCCTCCCTTCACCTCCCCGCTTCGCCTGGCCCCTCTGGCGAATTCGATGCTCGCAAGCTCCCTCCCTCTTTCTCGCTTTCTCTTCATCAAGCGTTAGGCGCGTGACAAAGACTCCGTCGCTGGAGAAATGAACACTTCCAGCCCATGATGTCACACCGCCCGATGTGGACAGGAACGAGTAGGGGGCACAATAGCAGGCTCATTCATTCTGCTTGCACAGGGCGGCTGTGAAATTACATTGGGAGTGTTACGTTTTTATCGTGTGTGTGTGTGTGTTAAGCATCTCTATTAAATGTGTAAGGAGAAATAAAACGGATATTATATTTTTTATGATTTTGTTTTTCAATTTTTTTTTTCTTGCGTTTGAAATAACTTTTTTTCAAAGTTGCAAAAGTTGATATGCTAGCAGCGCACAAGTCCTTTGGGAATTACCGTCCAGTCAGCCAGCAAAACTTGTTTGTAATCATGTATAGTATGATGTTAATCGCCAGCATAACAAGTGCAGTATAACTTAGTTTAACATGCTGCTATTGTTGTAGTTATCCCCCGTACTTAGAAAATACTCTTTAGCTAGCAATAGCTACTCTTTAACAATGCCACCAATGAAATAAAATGTGGATGCATGGGTGAGTGAGTCATTTGGTGAGTGAATTGGTGAGTGAATGGGTGAGTGGGTGGGTGAGTGAATGGGTGAGTTGGTGGGTAAGTGAGTGGGTAAGTGAGTGGGTGAGTGAACGGGTGAGTGGGTGGGTGAGTGAGTGGGTAAGTGTGCATGCCATGTCGTGTATTGTCAGTAATTTGTGGTGTTTGTTTCTGATTTGTGGTACCCATGGCACGTACGCACAGCAGTGCCTCCTTCGAGTTCAACGCATTGAACAGACAACAAACAACTTGCAATCGACAAGAGCAGTTCTTTTGAATATTTTTTAATTGTTGTTGCTGTATTATTGTCGAATACACAGTCGCCATAATACGAAAGATACATCTGGGACAATATAAGACACTTGAAGATTGACTACATGAATAAGGCAGCATAGATGACACATGCTCTAAAGCTTCAGGGAGATCAGGTGTTCTACAATTTTGACATAATAAATAACGATGAAGCGTATACTTAATATATCCAAAACATTTAAACGCAATTTAATAATAAATAAAACTTTTTTTAAATTCATAACTTAGGTTGCACATATTATTTAACGAAGAATGAAGCGACACAAATCAGACACCCCGACAAATAAGCACACGCACAATATAAACAAATGCTATGCATTCACACGCATGGTACAAAACAATTAATTTAAAAAACAATGTAATCGATTATAATTATTTTCAAAAAGCGATTGTAGATACCTTTGAACAAGAACATTTATTTTCATGTTTACAAATGTTAAAGCGTACAGAACATGACACACCACTTAACGCGTGTCTTCTTCTCTGGTATATATATATTTTTTGTTTAATATTTATGGCATTTATTTATTTATTAGAAAACAAGGCTATCTGTGAGTGAGCAGTGACAAAACTTGGGGTTACGAGAGAGGCCCTTTTTAAGACAACGATAAGAACAATTAACCACCTCTCGGACTTAACGCAGCAAAAGCTATTTTGTGTGACATCCTGCAAACAACCTCGACTCTCTCACTCGACTCCCTCGCCCCTCTCTCACTCTCTCTCTCTCGAATCGTGACATGGGAGAGTGGCGACAGTCAAGAGAGTTGCAAGGTGCTCAACCCTCCTCCATCAACAGGTCGGCCGAACGGGCATTTGAAGCAAAATGACCTGCCGGTTTTCGGACGGGTGACACTTGTTAATGTGTCGCGTGAGACCCGGGGAGCTGTAGAATGTGAGCGCGCAGAACTTGCACAGAAACACCTCGGTGGCCGCTCCCTGCAGTCGAATCAATCTCTCCACGGCCGCCGCCTTGGCCGCTATCCGCTCCCCGATGAGGTAGGGGTCTCCTCCACTCGCCTGCAGAGCCGCCTCTCGTGCCTCCATGAAACGGCGAGCCGTGGCGCTGGCATCGGGCGCTTGGTGGTGATGGTGATGCTGCTGCTGAAGGAGCCACGGCCGAGCGTGCTGTTGCTGCTGCTGCTGTTGCTGCTGCTGTTGCTGCTGCTGCTGTTGCTGCTGCTGTTGCTGCTGATAATGCTGCTTCTGCTGCTGCTGCTGTTGCGTGGATTCGACGAAGGCGCGCTCTCCAAGGTGCTGAACGGGCTGGTGCACGGCTAAGTGCTTCTGCAGGGACGCCTTGCGACGGAAACGCTTGGAGCACTGATCACACTCGAACTGCCCTTCGTCCGGGACAGCGTTAGAGGGTACCGACCGCTGCTCGTGCTGCGTCTCACCCTCGCAGCCCTGCTGCTGCTGCTGCTGGTGCTCGCCTGTCGCCTTGGATTCGTCCTCCGCCCTTGCCTTGTGCTGTCCGGCGTCTGTGCCCGCGCCGGCGCCCGCGGCGGCGGCGGCGGCTGCGACAGATCGCGGCTTGTGCCACCGTCGGTGCGAGGCCAGGTTGGCCGGGCAGCTGAACACCTTGTCGCACTCGGGGCAGCGGTACTCGACCTTGATGATGCGCGAGCACTTGTGCTGCGCCAGCGACAGGGGGTCGAGGTACTCTTCCTTGCACAGTTGGCAGATGAACTCGGCCAGCGGTCTGGCGCCGTCGACCACCTGCCGGGGCTTGGGCTCCACGGGCTCCTCTTTGATGCGCAGGCCGAGCACGGGTGACGTGAGCACCTCCTCCTTGAAGCTCAGCTTCTTGGACGTCTTGTACTTCTTGGGAGGCGGCTTGTCTCCGCGCTCAGCCGCCGCGCTCTTGCCGCCCGCTCGCTTCGAGGCGACGGCGACAGCGGCAGGAGGAGGAGGAGGCGCGGAGAGAGGCGGTTGCACGGCCCCCAACAGCGCCAACTTCACCGCGATCGGCGGCGCGGCGACAGAGTGGAACACTCTCTCCAGATGAGGCAGCTGCTGCAGGGATGACGACGACGACGACGACGATGATATCGACAACAGCGGAGGAGGTGGTGGTGGTGGCGGGTGCGGATGGAACGAGTCGGCCGCCACGGGAGAGCCCTGCATGTGAAAGCTGCGCCCGAAGAATTGCTTGTCTTGCTCTCCCGCGCTCACAGGCCGCACGGGGCTGTAGGAGGAGTAGCCCGAGTCGGGAGTTCCGAACTGAACCGGCCGCTCGCGCTCCGGCGTGGGCGTCTGCGACCGAGGAGGAGGCGGCGGCGGCGGCGAGGGTCCCGCATCGCGGCGAGTCGCGGAGGCCAAGGGGCGAGCCGGGCTGGCGTGTGGGGGTGGAGGAGGAGGAGGAGGCGGCGGGGGTGGCGAGCGGTCCGGCCGGAGATGGTTGGACGAGTCGTAGAGCGACGCCGGCTCGGAGCTGGGCGACTCGTCGTCCTGCTCGCGAATTCTGTACGAGTTCGCGGCCGAGCGCTTGCTCCGTTTCACCAAGAAGCCGCGAGGCATCCTCTCGAGTTCACGCGAGCGCAGACGCCGGATTTGTAAATCGCTTCGCCCCACCGGAGGGGATTTTACGGATGCAGGCACTGGTCTGTCAACGTCTCTTCGGTAATGTTTTTTTTTTGGTGTCAAAACATGCGCGCGGATTAACGACGATAGAGTCTCAGCCAGCAGCAGCAGCCGTCACCAGTACGACCGCTTAAGTTTGGTTCCGTGTTCGCGGCAGTAGCAGCAGCAGTCGTCGTAGTAAACACACGCGCACGCTCTCGCTGTTCCGCTAAATATATGTCTGTGGTGGTGGTGGTGTTCTTGTTGGTCTAAGGCGCAGGAAGGTAACGAGCAGCGCTGTGGACGCGGTGACTCGGGCGAGGAGGGGGAGGCCGAGACGCGGTGCTTTGCAATGCGAGCCGGGGCATTTCTTCACTGTTTTTAACGGCGCCCACCGCTATTGTTCCCTCCTTTGTCGCGCCTGAGTGGAGCCGCGCCAGCCAATGGGGACTTGCACCGCGCATCTCGAGAGAATTGAGTGAGCAGATGTAGCGAGCGCCTTCCGACAAATTCACTCCCCCACCACCACTCCGCCCGCCCGCCCGCCCGTTCACCCACCACAACCTCTCCCTCCCCCCTCCATACATCCATCCCCCATCCATCGCTCCCCTCCTCCCTCCCTCACTCCCTACCCGCCCCCGGCACCACGCCACAACCCATCCCTTTCGCCCGTGCACCCGCGGCCAAGACTCGACCAGCACCCCACCCCCCTCCACCCCCACCGCTAACTCCTGGACAAACCCCCCACACCACACACACACCCACCCACCCGCACCCCCGCCCCACCACCACCACCACAAGCCTGGGCAGTCTCCCCACAAGCCTCGCTGTTTTCTGAGCCATAATTCAGCCTTGCCACGCGGCGCACGCCTCCCATTGTGCGGCCCCCATTGAGAGCGAGCGCCGGCCACGCGTCGTCGCTTTGTCTGTGCCCCGCGGGCGGCTATTAGGAGCGCAGAAGGGCCGAACGCTGCCAACTGCCGCGACTCAAGTATGCGCTCACTATGCATGAGGTCAGGCCAGCAGCAAGGGAATTTGAATTTCAATGCCCCGAACCACCACCACCACCCCCACTCACCCTGCCACCCGCCTCCAAGTCCCCGTCGCCCTCCGCTCCCCCCCCCTCTCTCTCTCTCTTCTTCATCTCGTGGGGGGCGAATATTCAATGGTCGTTGTGTTGAACAAATGCCGAGTATAGCCACCGCCACCACCACCACCATTCCCGATAGGTGTAGAGACAGCATGTCCTTGAATGACGACTTCACGGCATCGATCGGGTTTGTGCGCGAGCGCACTGGGCTGGGCGACTCAAATGTCTCCTCCCCCCCCCCCCCCGGTGCGCGCCGCCTCTTTAGGGCACCACCTCTTCTGCAGAGCACCACCGCCTCTTCTTCAGCGCGCCGGCGACTTGAGCGAGCGACAAAGTTTGGCCCCGCGTCGTCGGGAGAGTCGAGGGCGCGCAGAAAAGAGGCACAACTGGTTGTTGGGATTCGCGTATGTGGGGTGGGGAGAAAAGGGCTTTTCTAATAAATATATATTAGTAAAATATTATCCATAATAAAGGGGTTTTTTGGGGGGGGGGCGGGGGGGTTAGATCGCGTATATATATAAAAATGTGTCGTTAAATCCGCCACCACCCGGCACAGCCAATTTATTAAGGTTTGTTTACGTGACAACCCCTTACTCATTTGCTGCGTCGGGTGGTGGCGGGTTTAACGACACATTTATATTTACGCCATCTAACCCCCCCCCGCCTCCCAATTTTTTTTATTGTGGATAACATTGGTCGCGAAAGCCAACGTGTAAAACTTTCAACATATTATTCTCGAATGCACTTTAGTCCATAAATAACATGCATTGTCTAGGGCGAGAGGCAGACTTTACAAATCACGCGACCATATTTATGTAATAACATCGGCGTCATGGCCTCTTAGTGTTCTCCACTTCTCGAGTGTCAATATTTACTTGACGCTGCTGCTATTTTTTATTATTTGTTTTGAACGTTTACCGATTCTGGATTTTCCACCTGGAATTATTGCTCGAGGATGTGCAGCAAAGATAAAGACAAAGATGCTCCCGTATACAGCCTTCGCAGACTGTTGGGACAAGTGCTGTTTGCGAGCACCTATGAAGGCCGGGTGGGTGGCCAACACCACGCCCAACCGCCTTTGTCTTCCCAGTGGCGATGTTTACACACCTCAGTAATTTGAGGCTGAGTCAATCTAGGGGATGCACAGGACCGGTTCAGATAACCGTCATTGGTGTTGGTGGCCACGAGCGAGAATCATGAGCGGGTCGTCGGCTTCGTAGCACAGCACGCTAACCGCTACACTACCCCTCCCCATATATTTTGCGTACACATACATACACACTCACACATATCTTTGTATAATATACATATATACATACATACACACGTACGTACAAAAAGGATGATTTTTTTATTCGATTTCAAAAAATCGTAAAAACCTGGCCAGGTGGCTCAGCCGTAGAGCGAGCTGATGGCCAATTAAAAGGTTGCGAAGGGGTGGGATAGGCAGGGTGGGGGTGTGAGTGGTGATGGAGGAGGGGAGAGGGGTCGACTCAGCCCATCATCCCTCCGGGGTCAATAAAACAAGTACCACTTTGTGTGGAAGCCAACAGCGGTTAGGTCTTGCGTCAACTCGCCCACCCCCCTACCCACCCACCGACCACCCGCCATGGAAATGTGGAATTTTACACCACCGGCTAAGGGTTGTAAACAGGAGATGAACACGGCAGGAATTTACTTTTGAATAAAACATTTTTTAATTCCGTGGTTTTTAATCAGAGTGGACAAAGGAGTGAGTGAAACACATCATCATGGCGCGTCTTTCGAGGCACGGTTTACCATTTTTTTGTTTGAATAAACCGGCCGGCATTGTTGCACCCCCGCCTCACCCCCTCGAAATAATCAAACTCGTTATTTGTCCGGGCAGACAGTTCGATTCCAAACTTGGCAACGTGTCATTACGCGCGAGACTCGCATCGTGGCAAGAAATTATGAATGATGTACGGCGCCTTTTAGCTTTGTGCAATAAAGAAAGAAAGAGACACATTATTAGCGCTTCCCCCCTCCCCTACCCACCAAAAAATTAAAGCCCCCCCCCCCCCATTGTTGTGCAACCTGCACGGAAAGAACACGTGCTAACACACGAGCCGGAGGTTCGGCGAAGAGGGCTTGGTTCGGCTCGTTCTGTTTTTTTTTATCGATTCGACTATTGTCAACGCATTATGCCGCGGAGGCGGTGGCGGTGGGTGCTTCGTGGAGCAATAGCACAAAATATAAACACAACGCTGGCTTCTAGAACGCGATCGTGCGTGCGTGCGTTCTGAGTGTGATGTCAATCACTGCGAGCCGAGACACTGTGCGGACCTAATCTGAGAGTGGGAGAGCCGATTGCTCATTGATCGGATCGGCAAAACATCCCAAGGCAGGGAACCCTCCAGAACTCGAAGGATTTGAGACTCGCGGAGTCTTCCCCCATCCCAGGTTAAATCATTGGCATGAGTGTTGGGTGTAGCATAACGTTACCCAGCGTGGATGAGTAGGCCAAATACCCTGTAGAGGCCGAGGGGCGGGGGGCTTTCTCTTTCGAGAGCGACAGAGCCATCCCTCTAGCGGAGGTCTGTTCTCAAGCGGTGGCGTGAGCAAGCAATTGCAAGGCTGCGCCTTTATCTACTATTGGACAATGCGTACATGATTAACAACCCCAATTAAGCAACACATCCATAATATATAGATACATCTATCTTGGTGGTGCGAGGGGGGGAGTGACAAACAATAACATTTGACCAATATCAGTGTCGTGATTGATAGTTGCTCTAACATTCTCATGCAAATTCACTTTATTAAACAATTACTTACAGCGGTATCTAGGGGAAACAATCAAATTAACACCCCGACAATAATTTCCGCAAATTTACCCTGGCAGTGTTTCGTGATAGGCCACGTGTCAGACAGAGGTAGCATAATTGAGAGGGGGTTGGGGGTGGGGACTTCACCAATTAGTTCGTGTGTGCATGCGTGTGTGTGTGTACACGTGTATGTGTGTGTGTATACGTGTGTGTGTGTGTGGACGTGCGCGTGTGTGTGTGTCTGCATGCATGCGTGTGGGGAGTGGTAGTGCAGTGGTTAGCGCTCTGCGCTAATAACCCGGCGTCCCGAATTCGATTCCCGCTCAGGGCCAACGCCAGTGACGATTATCTGAACCGGTCTTGGGCCTTCCCTAGATCGACTCAGCCTCAAATGAGTACATGGTGCGGTGTGTAAACATCGCCACTAGGCAGACAACGGCGGCCGTGCGTGGTGCTGGCCACCCACCCCCTCGTGTGCCGTGCCGGCCTTCATAGGTGCTCGCTAACAGCACTTGCATCTCAACGCATTTGAAGTGGCAACCTCCAGTAGCAGCTCTCCCTGTGCGGCACATGTATGTATGCATGCATGTTGAACTTCTTTCGCACCGCACGCAGACAACCGTGCTAACCGGAGGTGGTCTGCAAACCGGGCATTTTAGTCTGCCAGTCAGGGGCAATGATTTCTACGCACAATCTCAGTTGAGCAATTGGTGATAACTACCAACACAATCGAGGCAAGGTTGTGGAATGTTTTATTAATTTATTTGAAAGAAACATGTTTGCGCATTGTAACTGGGCATCCCTTGTGTTCTATCCACTGCTGGATGAGGGTCTGTCTACGCCGTACGGGTCACGGGGGGTTCAGTGATCATCATCAACCTGCACCGCAGACCGCGTTGCTCAGTGATGAAGTTTGGGGCCATATACGTGGGAGCATGGAAAGTAAAGTACAACAATGGATTTTTTTTATCAATAGTTCGGTGCTGCACTGCCCTCTGCTGCCCACCACGTAGCCCCGAAGTCTATAGCACCTGTTTCATGCATGGCGAGCGCTCAGTCAAGCATTGCCCAGGCTCAAACTTGCTTAGCCTCCGAGATCTGTTGAGATGGGGCGCATTCCGTGTGGCTTGATCACGAGAGCGCGCACACATTAAACACTCTCATTCGTAAGATGCGCGGCCGTCCCTCTCACGATATCCAATCGCCCCGTTGACAAGGCAGTAAGGGCGACGGTCATTGTCAATCAGTGGGGTAAACTTAACGTTGAAGCAAACAAAATAAACCGCACAATAGTCGATGTCCGTCTTTAACATCTGCCGACTTGGTGAAAACGTGCCCGTTCCCTCCACTCTCTGTGGAGGAGTAGACCAAGTACTCCCTCGAGTTCTCGAGGCGTTCTCTAGAACAACACTCTATTTGAGGCCCTCTTTTCTTTGCCAGCAATGGCGTGAGAAACCCAATTAATTACATGCCAACCCCCAAGACCCCCCCTCCCCCTTCTACATTGCCCCCCCTCCCCCGTTCCCCCTCCAAGTTGATTGAAGGTCCCAGTGCTGCTGGTAGTGAACTGTGGATGGTGATTGGCCA